TATCGTGTAGGAAAAACTAGGTTAAAATACTATAGTATGCGTTACATATACTATAGCATTTTCCTAGTTTTTCGTATACGATACTTTTCGAGAATATGGGCCCAGAGGGTCGATTCTGTATAAGGCACTGTGTATTCGCATCTGCCATTTTTAATCCATTTCTCACTCTTTTGCTTCTTTCCTCAATCTCTTAGCCCGGATCCTCATACGGGCAACAGCGCTTCGACAAAGAGCTCTGATTGGTGAAAAGCCGGTTGTGGGGGTAAAATTTACCCCCATCACCCATTTTTCACCAACCAGCGTTCGGTGTCAAAGCGCTGTTGCCCGTATGAGGATCCGGGCTTAAACACAATAGACACAGGCAAAAGACACAGGCAAAAGACACAGGCAACAGAAAATAACGAACCGCCCAATCAGAGCTCTGGTGTGTAAGTTCGATATCATCTCCCAAAGCTCTAATTGGACAGCTCGTTATTCTCTGTTGCCTGTGCCTATTACCTGTGGCTATTGTGTTTAAGCCTTTAAGATCCCAGACACAAGCTTTTGCATAACGCATAACGCATAATGCATAAGCGAATCAACTAATCAGAAGCTTTCCTTTCCTCTCATTCCATGGAAAAAAAGAATTTCGATTGGTTGATTCCATTATGCACTATGTATTATGCGTTATGTAAGAGTGTGTGCTGCGGCCATAAGAGCCATTCCACACAAACTTGCAGAACCGTATAACCATATGCATAAAGAAAATTATCTAATCACATTTCTGTCATACAGACAAACGTAAACTACGATTGGATGATTTTCTTTATGCATATGTTTATGCGACTATGCAAGTTTGTGTGAAATGTCCTTAAGTGTTAAAGGGTGCCGTCACATGCGGCGTAACCTGCGTTAGCGTGACCTACGTATTCTAGTAATTTACTAGGATATGTTATTTTTTATTTACTAGAATACGCCATTCTGAAAGCCCACATTTACATTGAGCGTATTTCGCGGAAGATTAGAGAAATGCGGAACTAATGGCCGCGTTCAACAGACTCAACTGTTGTGGAGCGGATCCGTGAGCGCTCGCTGCTATTGGATGATTTAGAAGAATACACCAATAGCAGCGAGCGCTCACGGATCCGCTCCACAACAGTTGAGTCTGCTGAACGCGACCAATGCAACCAATTGCTGATTAGAATTTCTGTTGTACACTCTAACAGAAATGCTAAATGAATTTACGATTGATTTTCGTAACTTACGCATCTCGAAAAGTACGCCTCATAAGAGGAACAATCTCCAATGATCTTGATCTTGATATATGTTTTATCCAGGTAATGATCCTGAACAACATTCAAGAGATTTTAGTCGTCGATTGGACACCTAGGGTAATGCTAATGCCGGCGGTGCTATAACTTGCAAGCCTTATAACTTGAAAAGTACTTAATGAAAATGAACTTAATTATAGTGTTTTGGAAAGCTCTCGAGATGAGCTGTAAGACTATGCAATGAGAAATAAGGGGTTCCATTTAAAAAATTGACTTGATATTGAAATGACCTTGAAGATCATCGTCAAGGTCAAGGTCA